CTATTAATTAAAAAATATATCATTTGAGTTTATATGATAAATTATTTAATATAAAAGATATCTTATTTAATATATAAGAAATCTTATAAAGTATGTAAAATATCTTAACAACTTCAAATAGATAACTATCTAACAATCATGAAACATTACTAAAATTGAGAATGAAAATGGGGAAAGTGTCAAAGAGACAACAACCCGACCAAAGGGCAGAAAAAAGTCCAAGGTTTGACCTTATTTGAAACTTATGTTGCAAGTATTTTGAACTATGGTTGTGAAATTTGGGGGTATCATAAGGCACCAGATATTGAAAGGGTTTATATGTATTTTTTTCAAATGTATACTGAAAGTGAAAAAAGAGTCCTTTTAATAATATGGTATATTATAAACTGGGTAGAATTGCTATGTGTGTAGAACAAGAGTATAGAATGGTAAAATATTGGATAAAATTATTATGTACTGATAATTGCATATTAATAAGTTGTTAAGATGAAATATTTAGTAGCTCTAATAACAAAAAAAAATAAGCAGAGCTTGTGCTTTAAAATTAAAAACATATTTTCGTTAAATATGGCTTCAACTTATAATGTATGGTTAAGTCAAAAAGATAGATATTGTAGATTTTTTACTGAGGCAATTAAAGGAGAGATTGGTCTTACATTTATATGCGAAGCAAATGCTTCTTTGAAGTCTGAAATATATGTCAATTATATAAATATATTTTTTGTGCACATATTTTACAATTTTACTTAGACAAGCAAGTGAATTTTATTTATAAACCTTATATTTGTTAATACCGTATTTGTGCACATAATTTGTATATAGAGACAGGACTATATTATAATATTGACAGGAAAGATAGATTATGTACTTATTGTAATACAAGTTCCATTGAAGACAAATTTCATTTTGTATTGGAATGTAATAAATATGTTGAAATTAGGGGAAAATATACCAAACAATATTATGGGAGACATCCCTCTACTTATAAATTGATAAATTGTTATCTGTACAAAATATTGAAAAAACTAAACAATCCTCAATACCTAAAATTAGCTGAGAAACTACGCTGCTTATTTTTTAACATTTCTATGTATGTCATACATTACGATTGTATGACTGATATAGTGCATGTATAATTAATTTGTAAAAGATTGTATATATCCTATAAGCTGTGCTTGCTTTTGGAATAAAGCATTATTATAAAGAATACAAGACATCTTATATACTTTATAAGATATCTTATTTATCTAAAAAGATATCTTATTTAATTAAAAAGATATCTTATTTAGTTTATAAGATATCTTATTAAGTTTATAAGATATCTTTTTGAATTAATAAGATATCTTATAAAGAGATCTTTTTGAATTGATAAGATATCTTATAACCTAAATAAGATATCTTTATAGACTGTTTTATGAGATATCTTATTTAATATATAAGATATCTTATTTGATTTATAAGATATCTTATTTAATTTATAAGATATCTCAATTACTTAATAAGATATCTTATTTAGTTTTAAAGATATCTTTTTAACTTTATAAGATATCTTGAAAATGGAATAAATATAAAAATGGCTTGCCATAGATATGAGACACCAACATATCGCATCTTTAAAACATTTCGTGATGGTAACCGTAAAACTAACGTAGTGTCGATTTCAGTCGTTCTTCTTCATAATTCAGTGCGTTTTAGTGTAAGGAACACATCCCTGTTAAAGAAGTCCGTATTGTGTGAACGTATTGACTGAGATATGTAAATGCCATACGATGGAGCAGAGTGTATGTTACTGATAAGACATGGCAGGTTGCTAATTTGAAAGTTGTAATGTTGAATATATCTCTCTCACCCAAGGCTATGATCCATGTTCAGGTTTAGATTGTTTTTGTCCTTATTGGTTTTATCAGCTCCTCAACTTTTATGTTAGGTTTTGGATTTTCAAATATTCCATGCACGAGTACCATTTTGGAGATATTAATTGTCGAAATGATGTGTGGTAAAATTATAACTGTTAATGATATTACTACCCCTGAGTCGATTCCTGTGCTGCTGCCCGAGAGTATCACCAACCCAGTAGCCAGTACCTGGTTGAAAATAGGGATATTGTTTGATTTAGTTGTTGCTATGAAATTTTGAAATCATTTTAAATTAGAGAATTATCTCCCTCATGCAGAGCTCTGATTCCTTATCCGGTTTTGGATTTTCTATTGGTCCTGCTTGGTTTTATCAGTTCTTCAAAGTTTGTTAGTATTTAGACTTCAAAATATTTTTGCCATGAGCGTCACCAAAGAGATATCAATTGTCGAAAATGAGCAATTGATACCGTTAGTTTTATTGAACAAAAAACATGTTTGTCATTGATTCTAGTTTGAAGTCGTCTATCTGTTTCAATATCGAGGAAAAAATCAAGATATGAAGCATACTTTCTTCTTTCGATATTTTTTTTATTTCAAGTTCACCGGGATATTTGAGATGTAAGCACTCGTTGAAAAGTGGCTGTTGAGTGACAGGACATCATCGATATATATGAATTTAAAATTAAAGAACTTCGCAAGACGCGAAATATGAATCCACCAAACTCAACAAATATGTTGTCCCTTAAAATAGTTCAGCATTTAATGCTATCATCTGCTGTGTAGTTGTTGTGTGAAAAAGTTTTTTAATCAGACGATGTATTTGATCTTTCAATTGACCATTTGGAATAGAAGTGTAGAGCGGGAAAACTAAGTTTTAAAATTTAAGGATTGTGATTGAAGATTTTGAAGTTTATAAAAATCCACATCTGATCGACACCGCTGGTTGAATATTCATAATCACAATATTTCTGGTGGCCATCTTTTACTGTAGGAATAATGGTGGTAAGAACATTAGAAAGATGTGTAGTCGACATAACTCTATATCAGGATGCTTGTAAAGTTTCGGTATATAGTATGAAGATGGGAGATTTTTATTGTCTCTTTTTTAGGTTAAAACCAAAAGAGAGAAGGTTTGACTTGTGATTTTCAAAAAAAAACTAATAAATCAAATAGTTCGCTTGAAAATAGAAATGAATACTTAGTTCCAAGTTGATACGACCACACTCTACACTAAAACAAAACTTCAACCTTATACCGAGCGGATGGACTGAATAACGGGAGAACAGACCAATAGACCAGAAAACATAATGCATATAAACTATAAGTTATATGGTTTGCTACTGACCCCATACGGAACCATAGAGGGTTAGCCCGAAACTCCTATGAATTTTACTCACCCTCTATGGGTCTGTAGGGGGGGGGGGGGGGGGGGGGGGGTCAGTGGTGAACCGTATAACGAATTTATCACACACGGGACTTTTCCTGCTAAGTTATGTAGAAAAATAAGCAATGAAATACAATAACACTAATCGATGACGTCACCATTTTTAGTAATATGAAATCTACTGACTCCATACTATAAGTTATATGGTTCGCTACTGACCCCTACGGATCCATAGAGGGTTAGTAAAATCCATAGGGGGTGAGGCCGAATGACGAATCCCCTATGGATTATATTTACCCTCTATGGTCTGTAGGGGGTCAGTAGACTAGTGAACCGTATAACAAATTTATCGCACACGATACTTTTTCTGCAGCGTTTTGTAGAAAAATAAACAATGAAATACAAAAACATCAATAGATGACGTCACCATTAACAGTATACTAGTAGCCATGACGTCATGAACCCACTGAAATTTACTAACCCCCTACGGATCAATATGGGGTCACCACGTGACGGCGTTAAACCAATCACAACGTATAATTTACCCGCGGTGCGATAAAGATCCATAGGGGGTCACCACGTGACGACGTTAAACCAATCATAACGTCATAATTTATCCAAGGTGCGATTGTATTGTAGGCTTGTCATGAAATACAACATTTCAGGGGCAATAATGTTTTTTTTTCGGAGAAGACAGAGCTTGTTGTGCTGCCAATTTTCGCCCCAATAGTTTTCTTTACAATTTGCTGCAATTTCGAGATGCTAGTTATAAAAAATGAAAACAACACATTATAAATTTCATGCGTCCGAAGCGCTTTCATAAACTGCTGTTTGACCACAATGTTCAGTGATTTTTTTTAGTATTTTTTTGTTGCTACACAAGCCACATTGGTTAATCGGATAACTGAGGAGATAAAAATAATATTTTGATTCAGAAGTTATCTGCTTACCCTTCCGGAGCACCTAAGATCACCCCCAATTTTGGGGGTTCGTGTTGCTCAGTCTTTAGTTTTCTATGTTGTGTTTTGTGTACTGTTGTTTGTCTATTGGTCTTTTCCTTTTTAGCCATGGCGATGTCAGTTTATTTTTGACTTATGAGTTAGAATGTCCCTTTAAAGTATCTTTCGCCTATCTTTTATCTGTTTATCATAAAAAAAACTTCTATCAAAGTTTCATTAAATTCTATGGAGGTTTTACACAGTTATTGGTGTCAAAAACACTTTAATCCCATACTGTATCTAAATGTTAACTGTAAAAGACAAAAAGAAAACCTTTTTTATCAGTAAAATACGGAAAATGAGAAAAAAATTTGTTCATAATTTTGCTCTGGCTACTGTCTTTCGATCTTGAAAAAGCATAGGTTCAAGTTTTGTAAAATAACATGAGCAATGGACAAATTAATTGATGTCTGGAAAACTTTAACCTTAGATTGTATTTTAATGTCTGGAAAACTTAAACCTTAGATTGTATTTTAAAGTTAACCAGAACAAAAAGTTCTCTTGTTGGTAAAATACGAAAAATAAAATTTTCTTTCCAAATGTAGCTGTTGGTAATGTCTATTCATTATGAAGAAAGCTATTTTCAAGTTTCCATGAATTCCATGAATGTTTGAGAAAGTTATTGATGTTTTTAATAATTTTTTTACTACAGACTGAACCTAAATGTTGATGAGGTAATGGACAATATTAATGGAATGTAGGACCGCTATATATTGTGACTTTTGTCACAGGCTTGAAAATTAAACCAACCACAAACAGCGATTTTATTGATGGTGACAACTCTTTATTGTTAATGAAAATCTTGAACATATTATCATACACATAGGTTGCAAATTTCATAATTTTTGTATGAAATACAAGTACATGTATAATTAATACTTTTTATTGTTTTTTTTTCTTTTTAGTGATTTCTTCAATCAATTATTTCTTTTGTATTACATCAAAACTGTTTCATTTTAAAATATACATTCACACTTCAGGTTCAAAGATTAGTTGAATAAGCTTAATCTTTCTCATTCTCTTCTTAAGAATAAGGAGGCTATGTTGAGGACAAAAAAAATACATCTTCAAGATGTCAAATGAACAATTGTTTATGAAAATCAACTAGAAACATACTATTGAAGTTGACAACTTCTGGTTGCTACATTTCAAATTTGTTTCAACAACAATGAGGTCCATATGTAATATGTCAGACTGACATGTACATGGGTCCTGAAAACAAATCCATGTATTGTTGACTTCCTAATCCTTAAAACTTAACCAAACTGTTGGAATGCAAAATTATGTCAAGGCCATATGCAGACCTGCCAACTTTCCAGTTTTATGCGGATATCCCCCATGACGGGTGCTGACCTGCCCTTATAAAATCAGATTATTTAGACTAAATACTTTAAAACATTTTAAACACATTTATACTCATTCAAATCCATAGTTGTTCTAAAATAATACACTAATGACATGTATAGGTATGCATTAGGTTCTCTTGTGTGCTTAAAATCCCCATGGAGATTTTGAAAAGTTGGCAGATATGCATATGACATATGTCAAGGGGACATATACTTTTAACAACCAATCAATACATTACATTACATATTGTTAAGCTATCATGTATAGCTACTTATGAAAAGACTTCATCCTGTTTCTAGTATTTATTTAAGAAGAAAATGATTTATGTTTTATGATAATGTCTGCGATTGATTTCTTTGGTTTTTAGTTTCATCTAATTAGTTATTGCTGATAATACATTATATTGTTAAGTTATAAAAAATAATGTCATACATGTTTTCAAATAAAAATAAACTAATTGATTTATGAATTATGTTAAAATGCTGGAAAATAATTAAAAGAACTCTTAAAAAAATATATATAATCTTTTTGCAAAAGCTATTGAATTCCTAAATAAGAGAAGTTTCTGGATCATGACAGACTCCCCCCAAAAATCATAAGTGACTACTATTATCTGGACATAAATAGACTTCAGAAGTAGAACATCATTTTTTTTAAATTTATAATTGTTCTAAAATAAATGTTTATATTAGTTACAATCACTGTTTTGTATTGTTCTTTCAGATAAGTTACAAACTTGTTGGGTTGAGATTTGACCTGCAAAAGTTTTTGTAAAACCATCAGCTATACAACATGACAGATAGACATATGCTCCTACAAACTAATCCATATAACAAAGAGAGTTGACCTATCACTTAAAGAATCTGAAGAACAGACCGTACGTATCATGAAAATTTAACCGGACTACAAGAATGTGATACTAAGGTCATGATATACTTGGGCGCAAGATATTTAGGCTAAATCATAAGCGTGACAATGGTATCATTTAGGCTAAAAAATTGGAGTCAAGATTACATTTGGGCTAATAATTTTTTTAAGCTGTAAAGGTAAATTACAGGTGAAATTTATTAATATCCGAAATATACACGATATCAAACAAAATAAATAAATAAAAATCCAATCATTGGGAAACCATGCTAGTTTGAAAAGAAAAAAACTTGAGGTTTTACAATATTTGATATAATATCTACTGAGTGTTTTCTTCTGAGTTCAGTGTAAATTGAAATGAGTTTACAGTGAAGATCAGCAACTGTCAGACCATAACAAGATGACAGCTTTTAAATAGATTTGAGAATGAAAACTGGGAATGTGAGTCAAAGAGACAACAATCTGACTAAAGAGCAGTTAACAGCTCAAGGCCACCAATGGGTCTTCAACGCAGCGAGAAAATCCAACACCCAGAAGCCGGCTTCAGCTGGCCCCTAAACAATAATGTATACTAGTTCAGTGAAATAGATGCCACACTAAACCTTGAAACATATAAATGAATTAAAATTAAAAAACACACAAGACTAACAAAGGCTAGCGGTTCCTGACTTTGGACAGGACATAAATGCGACAGGGTTAAACATGTTATACCTCTAGCCAAGGCTGTTAAGATTTAAATTTATACCAGAACCAATCTTTGAGAAATCTTTTGGAAGAACATTTCTATACCTTCACATTGTACATAGTTAAACAATATTTAGTGCTATAAAGACTTGTCTTGCTCAAAATCCCTCTTTCAAACCCTGTGGTGAGTAGGGACCAGACACTGTCTGGAAAACGGAATGAGTACATAAATAGTTATAAATAGAGGGTCGTTTATTACATATAAAATATTAATATATAATTAAAATATAGATATTTGGCATGTAATTTACCGTTACATGGGAGGATTAGCCCAAATGTCGACCTTAAAATTTAGCCCAAATGTCAACTTCTTACACCAATTAGCCCAAACGTGCATCTCCTATATACATATGATCAAACTAAAACACACAGAATAAATCAGAGGAATGAAAAAAATATCACAGTTACATTGCTCAAATGATCTGTCCATCACCTTCTCAACTTCTGATCTTTTGCTCCATTATATCTGCTAAAGAATCAGTAACATCTAAAAAAATAAACATATATTACAATTTTATTTTAAAATATACCAATGTTGGATTTTGAGTATACACATTTAAATATTATTTTATTCAACTAACATCAATACTATTCTTTGACATTTTACTTTATATACTGATCAGAGTCAATATATGTTTCATATTAAGTATAAGAAATCATAAATGTACTACATAGATAGACTGTTGCCATAGGGATATGTCTTGCATGTATGCAATTTTGTTAGTATAATGCAAATGTTGAAATTAAAATGGCAACATATTAACATGTAAACTATGCAAAACTTTCAAAGTCAATGAACCAGGACTAAGAGCATGGGGCCATTTAATCTCCATGGAAATGAGATATCCTAATGCAAATACAACTGTATATCAAATAACATTGACTTATCTTTAGTGCTTTCCTGTAAACAGACATAATCAAAAACTTTAAAATGTAAACTATGGAAGAGTTTTAAAGTCGATAGGGGCAGGCCAAAGCCGCCAAACACACTCCACAGAAATGAGATGTGCATTGCTATTATAATAAAGCTGCACACCAAATATAATTGACTTACCATGGTCAAGTTCCAAAGACAATATACTAAGACTGATAGGGCATGGCCAAATGTTATCTATGGTAATGAAAACTGCATATTCTTATACAACTGCATACCAAATATTATTGCCTAACCATTTGTCGCTCCCCTTAAACTGAACTAATCACAAACTTAAACAAATTTTGGATGCCTCAGCAGGCATCAGCACACCTAGCTCCTAAGCATTTCATTGGTGTTTTTTGCAATAAAAAATTTCAAAAACACTGGAAAAGGAAAAAAAAAACTCATCCTGTAGCATACCAGACCAAATGGATTTATCACAATATATATTTTTCCCTTTTCCCCTTTCTTTTTCATAGTTGCCATCTTTGGCATCCCCTATAATCCATATCCCCACTTTTTTTAACCCCCTATATCCCGCATCCCAAAAGCATGTCGTTCCCCTGACAGGTAAATGACATCAAGATAATGCTTGTGATGAAAAAAAATTACTCTAGAAGAAACAAAATTGAAACAAATGTATTATACTGAAACAACCCATTCAATATACCTCTGAGTAATTGTATTAATGAAAATATACCTATAATGAATAGTAACACAGTTCCCACTATTTTTGACAAACTAAAAAAATCCAAGGTTTTACAGGATATTCATTATTTTTAAGGGAGCCCCACTTGTTGCAGGTGTTGTTGATTCTGATCTTAATTGACTAGGATTGCCAGTTTCCTGTCACAGGCTGGTGGCTCTCCAGGCAATCTTGCTTCCTCCACCAAAATAACCTGGCTACCGTGATATACCAAAGAGAACTGAAACTGGCATTAAACACCAACAATCAATCAATCTTTTACATTGATGGTATCAGAAGACATATATGAAGAAACCATCAGTTAATTTTGACTGTAAGACGTTTATACAATCCTCACATTACAGAAATATTTGAAAGACTATGCCATTTCACTTAAATTTTGGCCTTTTTAAAAATTACAATAACATCAAAATCCACAAGCTTACAATAGAATATATATTTTAGCTGAAGTACTACACATTATTGTTAAGGGGCCAGCTGAAGCCCGCCTCTGGGTGCGGGATTTACTCAATGTGTTGAAGACCCATTGGTGGACTTGGACTGTTTTCTGCTCTTTGGTCGGGTTGTTGTCTCTTTGATGCATTCCCCGTTTCCATTCTCAATTTTCATATTACTTAAGAAACAGGAAAAGCAACCAATCGCCAAACATTAGAAATTCAAGGTTTTTTAAAAGGATACTGGCAATTTCATAAATTGAAGGTGATTTCTAAACCTATAATACCAAGAGTGAAATTTCAAATTTTTTTTTCAATTAAAAGCATTGTCTGTGAGACTTTTTGTCCTGTGACTTTCTGTCCTACATTCTTTTTTTCTCTCAGACGCCGTAGGAAGGAGAAGTGAGTTGACATAACATGTATGTTATCATGCAAAATCAACAGTAATGAGTATTTGTAAATCTAAGTATAATATGGAATACGTACCATCAAAGTAGATAAATTCACAATACTGAGCCTGTTTTGGAACAGCATTTCTCACTAATTCTGTAACGATTTTATAAAACCTATAAACCTCAGAACCCATGGTCTCTGAATCTACCCCAGCAATATTCCAATTTTTCATTTCTTCTAAGCATGCCACTGGTGCTGCATACTGTCCAACAAAATATAATCCCTTTTAAAAAAGTAATTCACTGGTAAGAATAAATATAACAAGAAATGATTGTAACAGGATGCTGTTACGAAGTCTCCCAAACGAAGCTCCCATAATTCGTAATTCCCAGGGTCGCCTGACATTGGGCAACGTCCAGTGAAAATTGGTTTGGTCCAGTAAAGTTATATGCATTAGTGATGCCTGGGGACTAACCTTGTATATCATTCAAATCATCTTGGCATGACAAACCAGAATATATATGGTTTCGGGGTGGGGATCTCGACCATTTACAAGATACTAGAACATTGGGGGTGGGGAGGAACCCCTGGGGACTGGCCCTATACGTCATTCAAATGTTCATTACATGACGAACAGGAATATATATGGTTTAGGGGTGGGGATCTCAACCATTTACAAGATATTAGAACATTGGGGGTGGGGGGAACCCCTGGGGACTGACCGTATACGTCATTCAAATGTTCGAGACATGACAAATAGGAATATATATGGTTTAGGGGTGGGGATCTCAACCATTTACAAGATATTAGAACTTTCTCAAATGGCAGGGGGTCGGGATGACCCCTGGGGACTAACCCTGCATATCATTCAAACCATCTTCGCATGACAAACCAGAATATATATGGTTTAGGGGTGGGGATCTTGACCACTTAGAAGATATTAAAACTTTCTTAAATGGCAGGTGGTGGGGGTGACCCCTGGGGACTAACCCTGTATTTCATTTGATGTGCTTTATCATGACAAACCAGAATATATATGGTTTAGGGGTGGGGATCTCGACCATTTACAAGATATTAGAACTTTCTCAAATGGCAGGGGGTCGGGATGACCCCTGGGGACTAACCCTGTATATCATTTAAACCATCTTAGCATGACAAACCAGAATATATATGGTTTAGGGGTGGGGATCTTGACCACTTACAAGGTATTAGAACTTTCTTAAATGGCAGGGGGTGGGGGTGACCCCTGGGGACTAACCCTGTATTTCATTAAATGGGCTTTATCATTTAGAACATTTTCAATTAAAAAGATTGTGTCTATCACAAACGGTTTTCAATTTATAATCATTTGAAAATTTAAAAAAATAAAATCCCTTAGGGTTCTATAGTAAAACCCTCTTTTCTTTTTGCCCCTCAAAGTACCCCTTTATAAACCCCATTGCACAAACAAAACCCTGATTGCACCACTAGACATGTTAGTCTAACATATTGTGAAACCCTAAGTTAATCTGACAAGCGGTTTTGGAGAACGGGTGCGGACAAGTTCAAATTTAAAAGCAGCGGAAGAAGAAGAAGAAGAATAATAATAATAATAATAATAAGAACTGAGCAAAAACAATAAGTCTTCCCAAACTTCGTTTGGGAGACTTAATAAAAGTAAGACAATAAATACATTGTCCTGGCATATCATATCAATACATGTATAAACCCAAAGAAACAAATTTACTTGTTTCCATTAACTTATAAAGTCATTTAAGAAGAACCAATATAGAACAATTAAAAAAATAATAAAATATCATAGACATAGCACACTGATAATTTAGCATAGCAAGACAAATTAACATGTAATCAAAAATAGTTTGTTTGTACAAATATTGCCTTAAAAAAGTTTAATATGCATAACATTTTACTCCAATCATAATTACTCTGATTTTAACTGTGACAGATTCTATTGTTTACAAGAATTCTGACCTACTCCATAAAAATATTTGAGTGTTTTGCAGAGATGTCAGATACTTCAAAAAGAGCATGGAGCTTTGACAGTTGGAAGTAAGAATCCAATTTGCCCAGTTGTGCCAGGTGGTCTCGAGTAAACACTATTTTACAAGCTAACTAATCATGGAAAGACAACTGATGCCAAGAAACTGCTATAGTATACAATGTACTTTGAGCTACACATTACTTTAACTATACCGTGTCCATTGCAGGGTCCTTTGCTTTAACTTTGTAAATATTGCAGGAAAATCGCCTGCCTGGTCCAAATGGAAATACATCTGGAGTTTTTGTAAAATTGATAATCCTTTCTGTATCCTCTCTTTTGTCCTTCAAAGCACCACCAGCGCCACAGCTTTTTGGGATAACAATGTACAACTTGTGTGGACAAATACCATTACTTATGTGCTTTCCTTTTAAGGCTTGATCAATTCCATTTAGGACATCTATTACAAAATATATAATACAGCCTGTCAATTAATGTTTTACTGTAGAAGAATTATATCTAAAAGACCTCAACACTTTAAACTAAGCAACAGTTTCAAAGTCAATAAACTGTGACTTAGGGGGCAAGGCCAAATAAACTACTGTGGATTCATTATTATTCGTTGGATACCAATTTTCGTGGGTTTCGTGGTTACAGGTGAACCACGAATTCAAATATTCAACGAAATACAAATTTTCTATGGGCTTTGTATGCAGAGATTCGTAAAACCACGAAATCAAATCTCCACGAAAATGAAAGTTTTCCTCGATCCACGAAAATTGATACCCACGAAAATAAATGAATCCACAGTATGTGGGAATGTTCTAATAATATATACAGCTGCATTGGTCAATAACATTGACTTACCGTTACTGATTCCCCTTAAACTTCCCTAATCACAAACATTTTTATCCAACCAATGCAAAATTCTTGAAGTCAATGGACCACGACTGAGGGAAATATATAGTCTGAACAGAAATGGAATGTGCCAATGCTAATACAAATGCATACTTAATATCATTCATCTAAAGCATATTAAATTTTTTGTGAAATCATCTAGAGCTATAGAGTTATATATATATATATATGCAAAATTGGTCGAGTGGTTTTGCAGAAGCGAGGGTTCAAAATCACTTTGAATCCCTCTGAGGGAAGAAAAACAAGAATGTGTCCATAGTACACGGATGCCCCACTTGCACTATCATTTTCTATGTTCAGTGGACCGTGTAATTGGGCTCAAAACTCTAGTTTGGCATTAAAATTAGAAAGATCATATCATAGGGAACATGTGTACTAAGTTTCAAGTTGATTGGACTTCAACTTCATCAAAAACTACATTGACCAAAAACTTTAACCTGAAGCGGGACGAACGGACGGAACGAACGAACGAACGGATGCACAGACCGAAAAACATAATGCCCATAAATGGGGCATAAAAAATGCAGATCTTACATTGATGGGCTAGATTTGAGACAAATTATACATAAATTTTGTGTTAGCCCTGTATAACCACAGGTTATCCAATGGAGAATGTCTGTCGTAATGTAAGCACATGTTTAGACGTACATATATAAATATATATCACTTACGGTTGTCATCTTCCTTGCCAGGTAAAACCTGAATCAGATAGTTTGTGACATAATTCCAAGCTAAACCATAAGCCACATCACCTGCTGGTAATATCAACTGAGTTTCCATTGGAATGTCTTTTCCTGTAAATAAATAGCAATAGCAATAAGAAAATCATTCTTCTAAATAGAAGGGAGAATTGCATTAATATGTAATTCTATTATTGAAAACTCTATTTCAAAGTGTTGTTTTTTGACAATATGTATGTCATCTCCAATAAACAACTTATCTGACTGAACAATTTTATGACTTGTATATGACCAGAGTTTTTTCTTTTTGTTACAGTAAACAACGAGTTGCACTTTTTCAAAATGCAATATGCATTAATTTGTTCCTTTAAAATATGCAAACAATGAAACAATGCAACCAATAACAAAAATCATTTTGTATTTGGTGTGTAGGTGTAGTGTGGTTAAAATACCTAGCCATGAATTTTATCAATTGACTTTGTCTTTAATTTGAAAATTTGAAAAATATCTTAGCTGATTACAAAGGATACCTCCTGCTCCGCTTTACTATTATTATACTAAAGTAAATAAATTCAATTATCTCCCCTTTAATATGTTGGACAAGGATAACACATGTTTTCCTTTATGCACATTCTATTTTTTATGATGTAGAGCTTATTCTCAAATGCTTAATAACTGGATTATAAGAATTTTGAATAATACTGTTCTTGCATAATACTTAAACAATAACTAATCTGTTACAATCGACAAAATTTTTACTAGCAGATCAGTTTGAAGAAATAAACTGCAACTTGAAAAATTCATTAGACAGTTAGGAATATGAAATGCACAGTAAGGAAATGAAGTAAAACCAAAGCTGAATAAATAAATAGACATAATCATGGATTGCTTGATTGATTGATTGTTGGAGTTAAACACGACTTTCATCACTCTTGGTAATATCATGGCAGGAAGTTTTTATTGGTAAAGGAACTCAGAAGACCCAATAGTCTTGAAGCTTTATGGAAGGATATAAAACATTTTTTCCTAAACATTCTTCATTTAACACAAATTTTGAACACAAATTTTGACTAACTACTGTAAGTTTTGTCTAAAGAGTTTTTTTTCTAAAGAATTGCAGAGTATAATTCTTTTTTAAAATTAGTCTCTATACATAAGGGAGATAATTTGATACTTCCAGTCTACAATTTGCCACTTACTCTTCATATGAAAGGTTATGTCTCACTGATTCTAAAAAAATATATGGTTTCAAGGTACTTTTACATGAAATGTCAGTGCAAAAATGGCTACTTCTGGTATACATAATGTCTCTTCCAGTTCATCTTTTCAAGGTCATATGCCTTTCAACCAAATACAAAAGACCTACTGATTAGTATAAAGTTAAAGCAAAAATAAATATTTAGAATGCCAAATCTACTTTTGACCTTTACCTCAATTTCAATGTCATATATCATGAATATCAAATCAAAAGACCCCAGGTCTTTCACATGTACGGTTAAAGAGCTATACTGATTTCAAATATATAATGGGAGAATCTGCAAAAGGTTACTGAAATACTTCAACTCAAATGGATCGAGGTCCAGCCATGTTTTAAACAATTATTTGGCAAAAGCATACTATCATAAACTAATATGGTTTCTGAGGAATAAAGATCACAAGCAAAGTTCAAAATTAAGAACATGACTTTGACCTTTGACCTTGACCTCAATTTTCTGCTAATTGACTAAGGACTACATATCAAAAGACTTTAGGTCTCTATGACTTACAGCATATGAGTTAGTTTGACATATCACTAATGTCAAAATTTGATATATATAAGATGTCATTCAATAAGATGGAATGAACAATTTGGAACAAAAAATTTGTCGATATCTTTTACAGAGGTACAGAGGAATAATGATAACAACAAAAAGAGGGCACTTAGAGATAACTCCTATAAGAATAAGTGTTCGATTATGCAGGGTCAATGGTGAAACTGTAATCACTGTATGATATGATGTGCCAGAAATCTTATCATTATGTTGACAAACAAAAAGAAACCATGTCAGACGACAGAATAATAAAAAAATAATCAGAACAAAAGCAAAAGGTCTTTCCATGAAAAGTGGAAAGACCTAATAAAATAAAATATATTTCATACCACTGACTATACTATGAAGACTCTTCAGATGGTCATTGTTTGTATCAAATGGAATATAAGTCACCCATCTTAGAGATTCAGGTATGTAAAGATTGTCACATCTATTAACAACTGGTATAACTTTTACTCTCTTTTGGTAAATACTGACACCAAGTGCTGACATGACATGGAATGTAAGATTTGTATCTTTTAAAGCATGTTCTGTTAGGAGAAAAATAATCCATCTACAATTCTGAGAAGCTTCTATTAATTTCTCTGAAAATTTTAAACCAGGAGCATCTTCCATTATCTTGTCTACCCCTTCGTCCTTAAGGTAATCAACAATTTTCTGTGCCTTCTCTTGATCTTCATAATTCTCTGAACAAGCAACATACACTTTGTATTTATATTGCGACTCATCTACTAACTCTAATGAAGTCTGGTTATCTCTCTGAAAAATCATATTATAACTATCATTTATAACATATTTTTTGTTTACATTAGTGTGTCAACATGATAACTATAATAATAAAGTAATCACCAGATGTAAAAGGTAAAATCCATAAATCTTAAGAACCAACAACAAACAATACATAGTCATAAGACAGAAAAAGATGGCACAACATTTTTCCTTAAGATGTTTTTCAATGATTGCTGTTCAGAGAATATGAATATCCAGACCACATGCAGACAGAGAACACAGGCAAAGGAGTGTTTTATTTTTATTATTTACTCAAAACATGCATACTTACTTTCATATTTCAATATCTTTATCAACTGTCCATTACTAAAACACACCTAAATGAATATGATAAGCACCAGTGCTGTCACTCTCAATTAAACCAACTAACTTTGAAATAGTATATGACTAGAACAAACTAGATGAAAGCAAGTCTGAACTCTGCCAAATATCAATAATATATATTAATAAAACTATAAATCTTTTTAAGCCCAGAGTGATTTTCCACTTTTTAAAATGAAAAAGAAAGAGATAAAAGACTGCACTTTGGTCAAGCCAGACCCCTAAAATTATTCAAAAATTATTGCATTAACTAGACCAATGTTGTCAAATTACATAAATATAAAACTTAAGAGTTGAGGTTGTTAATAGTTACAGATCAACGTATGGCATTCAACAATAAGTAAAAAATTTCTGTATAGAAAGCTAAATAAACAGCTGTGCCATGAGCGCATGATACGCCCGTCGTCTTGTGGGTGAATTTTTATGCAATAAGCATAAATAGTTTCTGACATACGGTGTGACATGCGAAAACCCCCCCCCCCCCCCTTTTTGTTTTTACAAAAAACTCAATATCTCTTAAAATAAAATTTTGAATCAAAACCAAAAAGTATACAGATCTTTAGATTAATATAAATAAGAAGTGTGTAAAATTTTAAGCAATAATCATAAATCGTTTTTGAGATACGGCGCGACATGTGAAAACCCCCCTTTTAAAAAAAGAAAAATCAATATCTCAAAAATAAAATTTTGAATCAAAACCAGAAAGTATACAGATCTTAATTAATATAACTAAGAAGTGTGTAAAATTTTAAGCAATAGTCATTAATCGTTTTTGAGATACGGCGCGACATGTGAAAAACCCCTCCCCCTTTTTTTACAAAATACTCAATAACTCAACAATAAAATTTTGAATCATCACCAAAAAGTATACAGATCTTAAGGTTAATATAACTAAGAAGTGTGTTAAGTTTTAAGCAATAATCATAAACTGTTTTTGAGATACGGCGCGACATGTGAAAAACCCCTCCCCCTTTTTTTAACAAAATACTCAATATCTCTAAAATAAAATTTTGAATCATCACCAAAAAGTATACAGATCTTAAGATTAATATAACTAAGAAGTGTGTAAAGTTTTAAGCAATAATCATAAATTGTTTTTGAGATACGGCGCGACATGTGAAAAAAAACACACACCTGTTTTAGTTACTAAGTCCCATAACTCAAAAAGTTTTAATCTTATTTTCACCAAAAAGTATACAGATCGTTTGACCATCATAAAAAACAACTATGTTGAGTTTCATGAAATTTGGATAAGTCATTCTAAAGTTACGGTGCGACATGTTTACGCCGGACAGACGGACAGACACCGGACATTTGTATACCATAATACGTCCCATCAAAAATTGACGGGCGTATAAAAAGGTCACAGGGAGATAAAGATTGCAAAAATTTAAAAGAGAAAACTTACCTACTGCAATAAAGGATGGACAATTGTGACAGACAGAAACACGCAAGCACTGGATTATAGGCTACTGGCTTGGGACAGGCACATAAAAAATTTGGTGAGTTAAATATGTGTGTGAATGCTCAACCCTGCCCCAAGACAGCAGTGTAACAAAACAACATTTGAACAAACTTTCAAAATCCTTTTTAATGGCATTGTCTCACCAAATTGGTACTTACCTCAAAAACTAATAACAAAATGACAAAAGACACTTTGCACTGATTCAAGTGTACTCTCAAACACTGAAGGTTTGTTCAAAGCCCAATTTAGATTATTTAAAAAAAACAAAAAAAAACAATGTTTTTCTCACGACTAAAATATCAATCAGTACATCTCCAACAGATTTAATGTAAAGATGTGCTAAGGAAAGGATGACATTGTGCAATGCAAATATATCAGTATCTACACATTGTAGGATCATTGGTCAATGGTGTAGATAACTGGATATATGTTCAGATATGGGTTAAACTATTAAAATATTATATCAAAATCAGTACTCATAACTACAATATTTAAAGATCTTACCACATTACCACAATACAAAATTGATAACCTTTAAGAAAAAGTTTATTCAATGGTACAACAACTTTATATGGATAGTATCTTATTTTACCGGGATCTATAAAAGTTGATTAGTGGAAAGCGAAAGATTGTAGCTGTATAGATATATTTTTTTTTCATGAAATGCCTTGAGCATTACTGTGTTTACACACTCAGAGGAACCCTGTCAGATGAACCTGATCAGACAGACAATCCTAGGTTGGTTCCATATACCAAATAAAGTTGACTCATTAGTTAAATTATCTGAAAGAAACAGACCTAATCACAATAAACTTAACATTGACTAATCTACCTTGAAAATTGGATCATGGTCAGAGGAACCTAGTAGATGAACATATGTTACCCATACAGTCATTATATACACCAAATATTGTTGAAATTTAATTACCGTATCTTTGTCTATCCATTGTCCTTGAAAATGATGTTTCCAAACTTGCATTTTGACCCTTATGTTTTTTTAGCCATGTCAGCTATCTTGGTTGGCTGACGGGATCGTTGAACACTTTTTTAAAACTATATACCCAAATGATAATTATGGCCCAGTATGGTTCCAATTGGCCTAGTAGTTTCAGAGGAGAAATTTTTTGCAAAAGTTAACTGATAACAGAAGACGGACAATGATGACAGAAACCATCGCAAAGTGATGAGAAAAGTTCACTTGACCATTTTGGTCAGGTGAGCTAAAAATGGCCCTTAGGGAACATCCTCCTTTGGTACTGCAGATAAATACACATTATTTATCAAAGTCTTACAGCTACCTTTAGTTTCTTTATCTCAGTGGCACTGTGTAGATCTTCTCTTACAGCTTTCATCAACACCTCAGAAATTTTCTCACTTTCATCTGTAAAAAAAATAAAAAACATACAATTTTCTGTTTCTCACATAAAAAATACCAAATGAAAACTTCATCTCCACATTTAAGTTCCAAATAAAGGCAACAGTAGTATACCGGTGTTCAAAAGTCATAAATCGATTGAGAGAAAACAAATCCGGGTTACAAACTAAAACCATGAAAACACATTAACTATAAGATGAAAACAAATGAACAACAGGAACACTGAAGTGCAACAAAAACAAACGCCAACATACCAGGCATGGGGTAATGCAAATTTGTAATTGTAATGCATGGTAATGCATTACATTTTTCCCTGTAATTGCATATAATGTGTAACGCAGCAATTTTTGCATTACATGTAATTGTAATTTAATGCTTTACTTTAGCAAAAAGTTGTGTAATTTCATGCATTCCATTGCATTACATGGCATTACTTTTTTTCACATACTATATATCTTTAACAGATTGTTGGAGATTTAACTAAAGCAGAATTTAAGATTTCTTTATTAACTAAGAACTAATCATTTGAATATTGATTTTCTATTTTCTATTTATTGTTCATCCTTTATATAAATCACTAGAGGGAATTTGGAGATTAAGCCTTGGCAAGGCAGTGGCGGATCCAGAGGGGGGCGTAGAGGGCGTACGCTCCCCCTTTGCTTGCACTTTTTTTTTTTTTTTTTTTTTGTAAAATGATTAATCAGACTAGACTTCGTGAACTTTGCAATTTCCTGCGTATTTAATTTTTATGCGACAATTCTTTACTTATAAAGATATGTTTCGCTCGTATTTACTGTAATATATTATTGATTATGTCAAAATCATGTGATTCGCTACGGTGGAGTTGACCAGTGCGTTGAAAAAACGTCACTCAGTCATTTTGAAATTCAAATTACAGTAACACATTGCTTAGGCTGATGATGACAAGCATGACATCTTAAAAGCGACAAAGGATTGAGCAAGAACGTATTTATTGACTTCTATTTCACAACTCCACCAAACAGAAAGTAATACTCTATTACACTCTCATGAAAAAGTTCCACAGCAATATTATTTACCTACGAAAACATGTTTAACCCCACACGCCCCAGCCTATTAATAACATAGATGAATAATGATCCCCAGTCAATAAGCTCTAGCTAGATTTAAAGTCTAAGGTACGGACCATTTGATTTGAGGGGGCAGTCTGAGATATTTGCGAGAAAAAATTCTGACCCTGATTTTTGCCTTAAACAAAAATTCTGGCCGTATCTGGATTGAAAACAATAATCTTGTCCACTTTTTTGCTATTAGAAACAAAAATTTCCTTCAGAATTATTTAGCATTAAATGAACATGATATAAAAAAATGGGCGTAATTTATTTGAGGCCAAGGGTTTGCATGTAAATCCCATATCTGACCGGAATGTCTGTTTCGTCGAACTGATAAAATGAATACTTTTTTCAAGGCCCGACTGCAACCTGCCTGCTGGGTGTGGCCTTTATGTCTCCATTTGTCGACCGTCATTCATAAATTCGTTGTCATTTCAGACTCATTCGTAGCCTTTGGTTGATTTGGAACCCCTCACTTCCCTTGTTGGGTGAAACATTTCAACCAAACATTTAGATAAAAATTGCTTGTTTGTCTTTCTTAACTCGTGTCGGTCGTATTGTAAATTTCATTGAAAAGCCCGGCGTATATCTCGTTTACAACAAGAAATCCGTGAGGTTATGCTAACTAAACATACAACAAACGAGAATTTTCCATGTCAATTTTTTACTGACAAGTCCCACATCAAATATATTAGTACGTAGCTTTGGATCCATCCAATCATTTTATAATAGACAATTAATGGGGAGAATACGGCATCAAAAATGTCCAACCCTTACACTTTAACTATAAAATATACATGCCCCACGTCAGGAACCGTTAAAAAAAGTGCATTTAACACTTATTTTATGTTTTTTAGCCAAAAAAAGGTCCAAAAAAATTTTCGCCTCGCTCCGCTCGCCTATCTTTACATACTTCGCCCCCCCCCCCCTTTCCAAAATCCTGGATCTGCCCCTGCCAGGTAGATCTTGAAAAGAATTGGTATAAATACTAGAATGACCAAATTACAATTCTAAATGAATAACACAACACTGTATATCAGATTGAATTCTTTTTTTTTATTTCATTTTATTTCATACATTTTCCTGCATAAAAAGATTGATATTTGAAAAGCATTACTGTATTCCATTGTTGTCAAAAGATTAATGAATACCTTGTCATGATTAAATAACAGATAATTGAACATTGTCATAAAACACTAATTAGTTTGTTTTACAATCAATCTTTTCACCATTTTGACACTTGGTCATACATTAATGCATTAAGCTCTATGTTTATTATATAATTAGGAAAAAAATTCTCAGTAAATATTTTGATTGAAATTAAAAAAAACAAATGTATATTTATAAAAGTAAAGTTAACATTAACATTTAGTTAAAATAAGTATTAAACTTCATCTCTGTAATTTCTTTTTAGAGAAAACACAGAGATGTATACCTTGAAACATAGAATGTGCATGAAGGATAAAACCTTCGAAACCCTAATGATGTTAAAATGTAATAGTCGTATTGAATAGACTTTTACATGTATACTTAAATTCAAAACATGGAACAGTTACTGCAGAATCTTTTGTGACTTCATGTTGCTTTTCAAAATGTTTGATGTTTCTTTTCACTTGATAATAAAATTTACAAATGTAATGTGTAATTCAATGCATGACTTTGCAAAAGTAATTGTTATTTAATGCATTACTTTGATAAATGCATGTAATTGTAATTGTAATTTAATGCATGGTTTTGTCAAAGTAATTGTAATATAATGCATTACATTGCAATGTAATTCGCCCCATGCCTGCAACATACATAGATCAATCTTGCACAAATAGTTTTAGAGACATTTTATTCATGAAGTTCCTTCAGTCAGGATTCTACTTCATCAAAATTATCTCCCCTTTACACCATCTAATTTTAATGATCGTGAAAATGGAAGCCATTGTAGGGATGACGTGCTGTCAATTTAGCTCTTGAAAACCAATAAATTTATCCATATAGCTCCATTACGATCCTTATATGACAGTTGTATATTAAGACAAATGTATCTACTAGCTATTAAGCATCATTAAATGTACTTTTAGGCCTTTTGCCAATTTAAAACAATTTTCTGATTGTTTGTCAGGGGGAACTTTCGAAAGTTAAAAAAAAAAAAAAAAAATCGAATTAAATCTTTTGTGGAAGGGAAGACTAAATATTTTCAGAGGTTGAAGACTTATTACCCATAATTACACCTTATGTAAGAATCCTGGGTTTTGATTGGTTGATAGCCAGTGTATTTTTCACCAATTGACTTTTATCAAATGAATATCGTTCATTTTTAAACAGCGCCTGGCTATATACAAAAAGGATATGCCTTTTTTACCCTCTTTGCCGTGGTATTTGCCAAAAAATACTCTATCCGACTGGACGCTTGTAATGTCACGATCATCAATGCGTTTTATGTCACGATCATCAATGCGTTTTGTACGTTAACATTCGGTGTAATTAAACAGATATAGCATGTTCTTGAGGGGTATTTGCGAAAAATACCAGTCTTGAGAATGAATTTTCCTCGCCTTACGGCTCGTGAAATTTAACATTCTCTCGACTGGTATTTTTCGCAAATACCCCTCCTTAACATGATATATCTGTTCAAGATACCACACACAATTTTTGTTGTTGTTGAAATTATGCATTTTTAAGATCCACTTGCAAAATCTGTCATCAAGTACTTTTAGTAAAAGTTTGTTATTCAAACACACCTGCTCTGTTATTATGACTCATTAGAAAGGTATTTCACTTGACCCATAAATTTCATTTTTTAGTACTGTGAATTTTTAATGTTATTATATCAACCTGTAGCCTAAATATATAAAAATAATAGAATCTGAAGCCAAATGATGCATCAAATATGTTTGCTTTATACGTTTTCAAGACAAAACAGTCAGCTCAAGCACACCTGAACATAAAAAGTGTACTCGACTTTCTCTTTTCAATGAGATTATTGCCCATTTTTAGGATTTTTTTTACAAAAAACTGTCAATAGGGCAGAGATGCAAATTAATGCTTTAAAAAGATCATTCTTTTATCTTTCTGTGGATTTTTTTCTCTGTGGAATTTATGCTTATGCACAAAAAAGACCCTCATGTATTTGTGCCTACCACAATTGACTGTTTTGTGAAAAATTTTCTTTAATCTAAAAGTTTACAAATATCTCAAAGTACCATACTATAATTTAAGTAAAAACATGTATATAAAATGCAAAAAAAACTTAATTATGCACCTACATTAAACTTTTAAAGCCAATAGAAACAGATGTAAACAATTCAAATATACATGCTTGGCTTTTTACCTTCTCTAATAAAAAGTTCAATTTCTTTTGTTTAATTTCAACTGGATATCAGCCTGCTTGTATTTGTCTTATCTAAGACTATTTTCTGTTGGAAGGCATTTTATGGAATGTTGAAAGTGAACAAAAGATCAAATTTAAAGACTGGCAAAATCAACATGAATGAAGAAAAAGGTCATAAGAAATAACTGAAATTTCTAAGTAACATTCACAAGGAAGATGCCAAGCTTGTTTATTCGATAGTAATTTGTATGCCAACAAAATTATTTTTGAGTTGATATTATTATTATTTTATATTTTCAGTAATTGTAGTCACATTGATATGTTGGCAGAAATATTTGACAAAATCCCAAAACTATATAGTCACTCAAGTGGTTTCAGAGGACAAGATTTTCAACATATTTCTGTTGTGGTGTATGACTCCCTTTGTTACTACATTCTAGCCCAGTATAATATTTTGTCTAAAAATTGTAAGAATATTATTAAATTTACTGAAAAATACACATCAAAATTGGACTTAAAATAAAATGCTCAAACATCGGATTCAAAATTACAATTGTTTTTGGTCCCTTTTTAACCCAATTAAGATCCACAGCAAATATAGTCATCAGTGACACAATAAGTCCCTATTAACTTTTTAGCTAGGTAAAATTTTGTGTTGTTTAAACAGGATAATGTTGATCTTTCATAGTCATGAGAACAAGCAATATTCAAGTAGGAATCGTGTTATGTTGTATTGCCATAGTGATACAATAATCAATTTCATACTTTAGTTGAGTTTTCTTACAATTAATTCCATTTTATGCAAACTAATAGCTATGTGATTAAGATGGCTAATGCTGTATTAAACCATTTCATTGATGATTCTGTTATGTTAAAACGGCCTTATCTTGCTCATACATTTACTCCACTGTATTTCAAAATACAAATATATAAACAAAAATTATTTGCATAGTGTAAGGCATATCCAAACAAAATTAACTATATAAGAAAAGCATTAAATCCATATTTACAATTTTATTTCTTCAATATGTACCATACAAGACATATGGTACATGCAGGCACAAAATGTTGTTGGCTTTAACTAAAGCTGAAAGTATTGTGAAAGTTAGCCAATGGACAAAGAAAAATGAAAGTAATAATGTAAATTCAGAAATTATTGCGTGCATTTGTTATTGTGATTCTTGAAGAATGGACAAAAATGCAAAATTAATTATTGCGATTTCAGGAAAATCTGCATACAGATAAACATGTGTATGTATCATATATCAGAATGTGAGTTTTTATTATTGCGATAATCACCAAGTCGCATTATTCACATTAATAAAAACCTTGAATTTACAGTAGTTCAAACTTGCCCTTTGATCAAGGTGAGCTAAAAAAAAAAAACATTTCCAAAACACTTCGAATTGTTGAATCTCCACTTACCATCAAAACGTAAAACTCTGGCAGTTTTTCTGCAGTTTTCAAAATGATTAAGGACAGAATTCATCGTATAATAAAATCTGTCTAACTGTAACTCTTTGTCATCAGTGGTAAATGGGGCTGCTGTTGTGGAGCCTCCTTCTTCATTACCTTGGTATGTATGAGAGAACCTGGCTAATTGGTTGTCTTCCATTACTTTCATTGTGCCGATCACATTTGGATATTCAGACATGCAGTAAAAAGTCTGGAAAAAATTATATGTTGCATATACCTACTGGACTAGTGCACCTTAAAAACATAAAGATGCTCTGTCTAATATATCATTGTTAAAATTTAATTGTCTGATTATTTACCTTTCAAATAACACAGTGAAATTGCATCCTCAAACTTGTACTATATCTACATTTTTGTACTTAAAGGCCTTTATTGATCTGTTAAAAGTGTAACCAACAATGATATTATTCAGGTTAATAAATTTTTTGGTAATTTACATGGCCAAATAACCCTCAAAATGGGTAATAATATTAATTCCCCCCCCCCCCCCCCCGAAAAATACAAACAAAAACACCTAACACAACAATTAACAACAACAGCATAATTATAACCTTTATCAATGAGTCTAGCAAGCCAAAACAAAAGATAGCAAGCTAGGACAATTCCTAAAAGTATTTTTGTTAAATTACTAATTAGCAATAAAAAAATCAGAAAATGCCAAATATATGCAATGTTTTCTCATTAAAATGTTGCTTGTGTAATAATAACTTGTCCACCTATTTTGTTTGTACTGACACCACATGTCATTCATGAAAGAGTCTAAATCCTCTGTATACTCTTCTAGGAATTCACCTACTTTATAAGATTTAAATAGACAATTGGTAACAACAGATCGTATCAGAGAAAACAATATAGTTGAGGGACATTAACCATCAAATTTCCTTTTTAATGCACCCACATAGCACACAGCTAAATCATTTACCATTCAAAAACATGAAATGTACTATATAATATTTGAACATTGCAATTTTCATCAAATCAAGATCAAAGGTCAACTTAGGGCCAGACAATTTCTTAATTCTAAAGATGTCAGCATTATTGCATATTCCGTCTACTGAATAATAAAATAATGTATAAAAAACAAGAAAACTTTTACAACAAAGATTGAGTCATTTATCAGATACACTTTGAAATATTTATGAAATATTTTGAAATAAACAGAGCAAATTTTATGAAATTCCAGTGAAACTGATAAAAAAAGACTTTAAAATATTTTTAGTAATTCAACTCAAATACCAATCACATTAGGTCCAAGGACACAGTTATCGTCCTTTGGTTTTCGTTGTCTACGAATATAGTCCCTAGTGTGAACAGTGTATAACTTGCATTTTTTTTGATACACTTTCCCAATTTATTTCTTGATATTTCATGCATGAAATATTAAGTAAGGGGATGAAATTACATGTTAAAAAAATTTGGGTGCTGAATCTTTATGTTAAGTAGTGATTTGGTCCAGTTAAAAAAGGTCAAAAATTAGAATGTCTGAAGCTGTCAAACTGAATTTTAGCCCCCCTTAACACAGAATTGTCAATATTTTGAGTTACAGCTGGTAGAAGTTTCTATAATTTTGATATTATTTGTATCAATAGTAGTACACTACACTGTAAAAATCTTTTTAAGATAGAGCAGGTGCGATTTTTTTAATTTGAATTTATTGTCTAAAAGAAATGCACTATGAAATAACTGTGTTCTCGGGCCTAAGAGATGAATTCCGTAAATGTAGATTCTGTACTTTGGCAACTTTCCTGAATGGTTTGCTGGTTTCAATTTGTCAAACTCAATAAAAGTAAAGCATTTACATCTTTGTTTGACAGAAATTCTGTTTAAATGTCCCATTTTGGCATTATACGGCTAAAATAAGCATTTTAAAGCAGTTTCCATTTTATGCCTAAGAGCCATGCTGACTTTCTATCTGACAGCTTTTTATGTTCCTGATATTTGTGTTGCTATGCTTAAATCAAATTTAATTAACCATTTGTGAACTCGGAATCTAGAGAAAAGTAGATTATCACAGAAAAAATGTGCAGAATATTTGTATTTATGTCCCTGGTTAAACGGCCTGTTTGATGTATGTGAAATGTGAAGAGCTTTGTACATAAAATCTGTAGTCCATCACAAATATTTCACTAAATCTGTAAAAAAAAAACACTTTACAATGATCAGTACACCCTATTCATTTCATATGCTACCATAATTTTCTTCTTTAGGATAGTAAGTGGTTCAAATATATGCCAAATGAGACTAAAACTACATGCAAGTTTTCCATTGAAAAGTGAAAAACTGGTCATCAGACCATACTGTCTGCAAAAAAAAGTTGAATTCAAGAGTCCTTTTGCAATTAGACTTCTTGTATCATGACATCTTAGCATAGAAATGAGCAAAAAGTAACAAATTTCAATTTCTTATAGCCTCTGTGTGCATTTTTATATGTAAATATGGACTACGGCCTAAATCGACTCTAAATAATTTTCGGTCTTACATGGCCTAAGACCATTTTATACTCATGTGGTATGCTTTTTGTAACTTTTCTTTACATTTAAAGTACATTTAATATATATGGAAGAATAATGTATGGTTAAAAAACTTCAAAAACTTCAAATTGGTTGAAAAAAATGCATGTTTATGTAAGGCTTCCCTTAATTCGAAAATCTCTATTTTCAGGCACGCGCTCATATAAATTTGACTTTTGAATAACTGTAATAAATCTGATAAATCAAATGAGTGTTCCGTTGCTTTTAATACTTATTATATTATATATCAAGAGTATTTAAAAAGCAAATTTTTGCAATATTTAAATTTTTTAGGCCAAAATCTTGACAGTTGAAAATATTTGATTTAAACGTCAAAAATAAACATCCAAATTTCAATATTAAAATCGCCCTAGTTTCTATAATATATATCCTATGGCCATGAAACTTGGCCAACTATCTTATAATTGCCTAAGCTTAGGTCATGCAAAGTTTTATTAAAATTGGTCAAGTCTTTCTTTCCTATTAGGTCCAAGGACACAGTTATCGTCCTTTGGTTTTCGTTGTCTACGAATATAGTCCCTAGTGTGAACAGTGTATAACTTGCATTTTTTTTTATACACTTTTCCAATTTATTTCTTGATATTTCATGCATGAAATATTAAGTTAGGGGATGAAATTACATGTTAAAAAAATTTGGGTGCTGAATCTTTATGTTAAGTAGTGATTTGGTCCAGTTAAAAAAGGTCAAAAATTAGAATGTCTGAAGCTGTCAAACTGAATTTTAGCCCCCCTTAACACAGAATTGTCAATATTTTGAGTTAGAGCTGGTAGAAGTTTCTATAATTTTGATATTATTTGTATCAATAGTAGTACACTACACTGTAAAAATCTTTTTAAGATAGAGCAGGTGCGATTTTTTTAATTTGAATTTATTGTCTAAAAGAAATGCACTACGAAATAACTGTTTTCTCGGGCCATTAATCTAAATAAAAACCTTTGTTTGTTGCTATGGAAGTAATTCATCAATTTATTCAGTCATACTTAATGCTAATTTAACAGTAATGGCAATCATAACAACTCAAACAGTTGCCTCAAATATAGCCATCTGTAAAAAATCAGATTTTAAGCTGTTCTACATTAAAAGTTGTATATAGGCAATTAAGTTGTTCTACATTAAAAGTTGTATGTAGGCAATTTAAGGTTGAAGAACCACAATTCTTAAAAATGTGAAAAAGTTAAAAGGAGATTATACACACTTTGGGTGGGAATTTACAGGGTGAAACTTTGATATTTCAATATGTATTGTATTTTTACTTCCAGTCTGAAAAAAAATCCTAAGACATTTTTATTATTTGATTTGGAATTTCATAATAAATGTTATTAGAAATAAAGGACTTTCTGTTTATACAAAATCAGCCAAAAAATTTAACAAATAATAAATAAAGTAATGAAAAGTGAATTTCAAGGAATTCCATTATATTAATTATCTTCTTGTTTGATTCAATTGCATTGTGCATTAATTGTTCATTGTATAAATTCATAAGTACTTCAAAGACTGAAAAGAAATTTAAACCTTTCATATGCCAGACACTTACTTGTTCATTGTGCATGGATTTGGCTATTCTTTTTACGTCCCTTTTGGTCATAAAGCTCCTCACGTATTTAGGTACTTATACATTCATATCTTTTTAATTCAAATGATGTATTTGAATTACCTCCCTTACACTGCTTTAAATTATGTTTTGTACTAAAGTATTTGTCCATTAACTAGGACACCCTTGTTTTTCCCCCTTTTTTGCCCCTAATTCCTAAATGGTTTGAGCCACAACCCCCCACAGCAAATCCTCACCATCCCTTTGTGGTATGGAAACTTGTGGTATAATTTCAGAGAGATCCATACACTGTTCCACAAGTTATTGTCTGGAAACTAGAAAAATGCTTATTTTTGGCCCCTTTTTTGCCCCTAATTCCTTAACTGTTGGTACCATAACCCCCAAAATCAATCCCAACCTTCCTTTTGTGGTATTGAACCTTATGGTAAAATTTCATAGAGATCCATTCACTTAAATTAAAGTAATTGTGCGAAAACAAATGTGTCTTCAGACGACGAAGACGACGCCAACGTCATACCAATATACAACCGCAAAATTTTTTTGTGGTTGTATAAAAACTACTGTATTGTTGTCACACTGCTTATTCAAGAAAAGAAGAGAAAATCAAGGGGACAGACAATCTCAAACAATGAGACAAAGAAACACAGATACCATCAGAATCAATGCATGATTTTAAGCTCATGTTGTAAACAGAATTCATTCAAATATCAAATGAGATTAAACTTCTTACCATGCCTTATGCTTTTTTAAACAAAAACTGCTGTAGCATTATTTCTAATTGGTTAATATCATTCACAGAAAGAACAATCAAGTCCTCCCAAATTCAAGCAGCTGATTGTAATTTTGCAACGAATTTTAGAATAAGGTAATGTTGGCATTTCAACATGACTTCAAAAGGTAAATAAATTTGACTTTGAAAAACATTTTTTTTTACTGTATATAGCTTATATATTTCCTTTCCGACTTTAATTACGGCATATTATTTTCTTTCTGATATTGACAACAGTGTGTTTTCTAAAATCAGAATAGCAAAATGGTCCCAATTTGCAGATGGTGGAATTTTGGGAAACTGTAAAAGCTTTAAGTGAAGGCTGTTTCCCCTAACAATATACTTTATTGCAGTTTAAAATGAAGACATTTTCTTGACCTATAACCAATAAATTTTATTTTATTTTGGACATGAAAATATTGATTCCTCATGAAATACTTTGCTTTTAGTGCAATTGTTTAATTTTTTGAGGATTTTTTAAGAATTGCAACTTTCTGTAAATATTGTGAAAACAAACCTTTTAATTTGCATAGGATTTAGAATTATATCATTCTGTTTTATAAGGTTAATATGATTTTAAGAAGACAAAAATTTATTAAACAACAATCAGAAAAGGGCATTTTGTTTAATTCAAGCATTAGAGGAATTTTATCTTCGTTTGACCTAGATTTAAATTCAACAGAAATTACACTGTACAATTTTTTAACAACGTCACCTGGCAAAACAGAAAGTACAGACAAAAAGTTTTTCTAATGATATACAATATAGCCATGTGTTAGTAGGGTGCATTAAAGTCTTTAACTATATAAGAGTCTTTTTGAAAAATGTCACTAGCCTAATAATTGATGCATAATTTTTTTTAACTTTTGATACAAACCTCATTGCCATCAGTAACACTGTAGATTTTTACACAAATTTTCCTGAAATTTCCAGCTCTCATCGGAACGAGGATTTCAATGGTTGCAACTTCTTTAATATTACTGTCTTCCTCAGGTAGCTCATGCTTAACAGTACAAGACTTAGGTACCATTTCATACATTCTAAACGATACTCTGCTTTGAATTTCAGCAGGCTGCTCTTTGTACCAATCTAACTCCTTTACTTTTTTCTTCAATACTGCAATAAGAAATTGCAACCTAATGAATATGGAGCATTAAACACCATATGAAGTTTCTTAAAATCATAATAATACTTAAAATATATCACACTATACTTGATTTAAAGCTTGGCATATCATGCATATGGTTTTAACACTTTGTCGATAGTGCTGAGGACAAGATGACATCTGGATTACTTTTTAAGACTTTGGGTTGCTGTCTCAACTAAATGCTAGTGACAGGTGTCATCACAGAGTGCTATGCTTGAGTAAATAAGTAAATTCATCTCCAATAGTAGCAGAAATGATTTTTGTACATAGGCAAAGGGGTGACTAAGTGAACTGAGTTTTTGATCATAACTTTCATGGTAAGTTTTCTTCTTTGTACCCAACACACAATAAGTGAATAGTGAATAATCGTGTCAAGTTTAATTACTCCAAGGGGTTGAAAGTTAAAGAGCAGACACAATTTGTGATGTTCAGACAGACTGATATCCTGATCACTATAGGCCTTCTGAAGAATAATCCTATGAAACTTATACAGTTTTGTTTCTAAACAAGAAACATTAAACCAAAGACAATTTATCCCCTGTGGTCTAACTTCCAAAGCACTATCCACTACATGACAGATACAGTATGTGGATTATTTTTCAGATTAAGATATTAACTTTTACTGCACACACTTGCTTCAGGAATTGTTATATGAAAGAATTTTTGGTAGAAAAATTTATCCATACTGGATTTGAACCCAAGAGAAAAAAATATAACGGTATTTAAAAAGTTAGATAAGAGAACATAAGCCCTGGACAAATTGTCATTTACGTAAGGAGGTAAGCAGCTAACAATAATAATAGATAGTTCATTTGGCATTAACCCGAAAATAATTTAGTCCCTCCCCTTGATCAACTCTCCTTCTAGCGAGAGCCAGAACACTTTATATGATAAAAACATGTCATGAATCAAGGATTTTTATTGCCGCTCTCCAGATGAGAGAGCCAATCAGCTTGTAGCTTAATGTTATTATGATAGTTAAATCCTAAACTAATTCCGAATGATTAGTTGGTGATTTTTCTTACAAAAATTTGGTACCCTGTTTTGTTAATTTTGCTGGAAAATAAGTAAGTTCCTAACCTGGAAAAATGAGAAAAAAATCCTTAAACAATTCCATAATTCCATAATATCAGGTGCACAACTTCAATATATGTGCCATCTTCCTATGAAGTTTCAGGAATCTGGGTTGAAAACTGTAGGAGGAGTTGATTACACAATTTAGGTACCCTATTTTCCCAACCCACCCGACATCACCATACTTTAAGTCGGTTTTGGCCATCATCCAACCCGGCTAATCAGTATTGTCATAATTTTTATATTTCTCCATTCAACAATTGTTTGGAAATAGTTTTCTTGTTGTTTTAAGTCTTGAATGTCCTTTTTTTTTTGTGCCTTCTCTTAGACCAAGCATAAATCAAGTTTCCAGACAGTTTAACTACTCAGCACTGTGGAATTAATACCCCCAAAAGTTAATTAAACATATATTCTTCAGACACTTTATCATTTCTTATATGTACCAGACTAAATTTCCTTAAACTACAAAGTGGTCTCTTTGAGGTAATGGCTGCTAATGGTAAAAAATGTCTTACCAGGCAAAACGTACTGTTGATATCCATTATAATGGGACCAAACTAATCCATGAGCAACATTTCCTGCTGGCATGATGTCACCTATTGACTTGATTTCTAAAATGAAAAACTATCATTCCTATCAATGAACAAAATAAATGTGGATAGTGTCCACATGTGGACACAGATGATGCCCCCGCTTGCATATCATATAGTTATAAAGGGACATAACTGAAGAACGGTAAAAGTGACGCTACCCAAATTTAAACTTGATCTGAGTTTTGTGGTAATAAGCATTGTGTGTAAGTCTCATAACATTTGGTTGAGGCTAACTTAAGTAGAGAACAGAAACTAAAAATTCAGCAATTTTTCTATCTGTAAACACGCATAACTCTAGAAGGGTTGTGTATAAGTTTTTATAACATTTGGTTGAGACAAACTAAAAAATTCAGCAATTTTTTATGTTTATAAAGGGGACATAACTCAAGAATGGTAAAAGTGTTGCCACCAAATTTTGTACTTAATCTGTATTATGTAGTAATAAGCATTTTGTTGATGTGGTTCATAAGTGTTTCTCGTTTCTCGTTTTTTATATACCGGTAGATTAAACTGTTGGTTTTCCCGTTTGAATGGTTTTACACTAGTAATTTTTGGGGCCCTTTATAGCTTACTGTTCGGTGTGAGCCAAGGCTCCGTGTTGAAGACCGTACTGTGACCTATAATGGTTTACTTTTATAAATTTTGACTTGGATAGAGAGTTGTCTCATTGGCACTCATACCACATCTTATATCTATTGTTTATAAGTTTCATAACATTTGGTTGAGGCAAACTAAAGTTAGAAAACGGAAACAAAAAATTTGTACTTGATCTTAGTTTTGTGGTAATGAATATTGTGTATAGGTTTCATAATGTTTGGTTGGGGCAAACTTAAGTTACAGAATGGAAACTAAAAATTTTGCAATCTTTCGATTTATAAAGGGACATAACTCAATAATGGTTAAAGTGACACTACCCAAATTCAACTTGATCTGTGTTTTATCAGTGGAAGTCAAAATTAAACATTGCATTGTATAAAGCATTGATTGTAGTTGATTCAACTATAATCATGGACAAAGGAAGATAACTCCAATTTTAAAAATTACTTGATATTTAGAAGAAAATAAAAATTTTGCAATTTTTCCATTTATAAAGGAGCATAACTCTAGAACGGTTAAAGTGACGCCACCTAAATTCAAACTTGATCTGTGTTTTGTGGTAATAAGCATTGTTTATAAGTTTCATAACATTTGGTTGAGGCAAACTTAAGTTAGAGAACGGAAACTAAACATTTTGCAATTTTTCCATTTATAAAGGAGCATAACTCTAGAACAGTTAAAGTGACGCCACCAAAATTCAAACTTGATCTGTGTTTTGTAGTAATAAGCATTGTGTATAAGTTTCATAACATTTGGTTGAGGCAAACTTAAGTTACAGAACGGAAACTAAAAAATTTGCAATTTTTCCATTTATAAAGGGGCATAACTCTAGAACGGTTAAAGTGACGCCATAAAAATTCAAACTTGATCTGTGTTTTGTGGTAATAAGCATTGTGTATAAGTTTCATAATATTTTGTTGAGGCAAACTCAAGTTAGAGAACTGAAACCAATTTTGGGACAAATGAACGTACGGACAGACGTACGTACAGAAGGACAAGGGTAAAACTTAATGCCCCCTCCGCTACGGCGGGGGCATAAAAACTCTTTCAGTGACATTAAATCTAAACTATTGGACAATGACTCCCTCACCTGGCACATTCCAACATTTACAAAATGCTTAGGGCTGTTAATTATGTCCCCCTGCGTTGCGCATATTTTATCTGTTCTGTCCAAGGACAATAACTAAAAAAAAAATTTTTTTGTTCTTTGAACTTTTTAAAATTATCTTACTGGAGAGTTGAAGACTTGAGAGCAATTTCCGATAGATTAAATATTTCCTTGGGAAACTCATTAAAAATATTTGATCGGCACTTATTTTTGAAATTGTCTGAGACATTGCTGTTATATACCTTTGATATGAATTTGATAAAAATCTGGCAAAAATTGTACATGCAAGAGCACTTACAATGCAATTTTCCATATAATCAACGTTTCCTAACTCTTTTAAAAATAATTGATCGTCACTGATTTTTTAACTCGTCCAAGACATTGCTAATATAAACCTATGAAATAAGTTTCATTAAATTCTAGCAAGAATTGTACACATGAGAGTGCTAACGATGCAATTTTTCAAAATTATTAATGTTTCCAAGGGGTATAACACTTTTAAAAATAATTGATCAGCACTGATTTTCCAACTCGTCTAAGACATTGCTAATATAAACCTATGATATAAGTTCCATAAAAATCTGGCAAGAATTGTACAAATAAGAGCTCTAACGATGCAATTTTCCATATGATTAATTTTTCCAAGGGGCATAACTCTTTTAAAAATAATTGATCGGCACTGATTTTTGATCTCGTCCAAGACATTGCTTATATAAACCTATGATATAAGTTCAATAAAAATCTAACAAGAATTGTACAAATGAGAGCACTAACAATGCAATTTTCCATATAATTGAAGTTTCCATGGGGCAAAACTCTTTTAAAAATAATTCATCGGCACTGAATTTCGAACTTGTCCAAGACATTGCTGATATAAAGCTATGATATAAGTTTCATAAAAATCTGGCGAGAATTGTTCAAATGAGAGTGCTAACGATGTAATTTTCCATATAATTAATGTTTCCAAGGGGCATAACTCTTTTAATAAAATGCTTCGCTGAGCGCAGTCTGATACGACGGCAGAGGTCGAACCCTGAACAGTTGGGGCAAGTTTGGACACAATATTCAAGCTTGATACTGTCTGAATTTGGATTGTGATCAAATTTTTGACATAATATAGGTTTCTGACACAAGATAAATGTAGTCAAAGATCTTAAAAATTTGAAATGGGACATTTAATTTACCTAGAATGGTCTGATATCCAAAATCTAGCAACATGGTTAGATTCAGCATATAAAAAAACACCAAAAATTTAATTCAGTTGAAATCAAACAAAGTTTAATTTTTGACCCTTCAAACCTTAATATGGACTAATTTGAAAACAGGTTCCAAAATAAAAAATCTAAATGCACAATAAGATTCAGCATATCATACAGCTGCAATAATTCAGTTTTTGATGAAATCAAACAAAGTTTAATTTTGGACCCTTTTGACCTCAATGTAGAACAATTTAAAAATGGGGCCCAATATCCAAAATAGTAATACAAGGTTAGAACCCCCAAAAATTAATCCCATTGAAATTGGTTAAAAGATTTGTATTTATTTTCAATTGAAGATTTTTTGCTATTGCGCAATACTGTGCTGTTGCACAATACTTAGTTAATCTGTTATATATAATAATTTACACACCCTGTTTGGTGTGTATCTCCTGCCATATCAGTATTTGTTGCTTTTATATATAAATCAGAAATAATCAATGGAAAAATGGAAAATTTTTTGGAAAAAAAAACCCCAAAAATTTGTCCCCCCCCCCTGCAATTTTTTTTTTGAAAAATCTTGAGGAAAAACAGTATGAACCCCCCCCCCCCCCCCAAATTTTTTTTTTCAAAAAATTTGATATTTCAAAAATTTTGAAGAAAAAAAATATGAACCCCCCAAAAAAATTTGAAAAAAATCCCCCCCCCCCCCCCCCCCCCAAATTTGTTTTGAAATTTTGAACATTATTTTCTTTTCAGGAAAAATGTACAATTTCAGAGAGTTCCATACACAAGTTATTGTCCGGAAACTACAAAAATGCTTGTTTTGGCCCCTGTTTGGCCCCTAATTCCTAAACTTTTGGTACCATAACCCCCAAAATCAATCCCAACCTTTCTTTTGTGGTATTAAACCTTCTGATTAAATTTCAAAGAGATCCATTCACTTAAACTAAAGTTATTGTCCGGAAACCAAATGTGTCTTCGGATGACGACGATGACAGAAGAGCATTATACGAACGCAAATTTTTTGCGGTCGTATACAAATGAATTGCTCACCTTGCAAAAATATGCCTTTTTTAAAAAATTTTTCACCATAATTGTAATTGGTTATATAAAAATACAAAGATATGGTATGATTGCCAATGAGACAAAGTTCTCTCCAGTCTCCACCATGTTTATAAGTGGATCTTATCTAGCTGATTATTTTTTTGCTGTTTTTTCTCTATCTATTATAGTTTTCATGATCATAACTAAAGATCAAAATTATGGGTAAAATCATCATTTTGAAGACAAGAACTCTTACAAGGAGACAATTTCAATTTCAGATGGTATCCTGCTGATAGTTTTTGCATCATACAGTTTATCTTAAATCTATAAAAATGAGATTGAAGACAACAGGTGGAAGCTTCAGACCATGAGGCAAAGATCTGTTTCATTGTTATTCCATATGCAAAATAAAAGTGTTTTATTATTTATATCCTAATTAAACTTGATTGTACAGAAACATCATGGAACACACACTATAAGTATGATTGTGGCATGTTTTAACCAAACTGTTTCAGTGGTTTTTGAATAAAATTGTTTTGATGATTAGACTCTCTATGAATGTTACATTTCAAGGTACATGTATTGAAATGTTTATGAAAAATCTGTACAGGATAATTTGGGATAAAAAAACCTACTTAATCAATTTTGACCTCTCTGCATGCAGACAACTATATAATTTGAATTCTGATTTCAAGCCAAAATCTGAAACCCAACAAAAAGTAAAATATTCAGTACAAGTAGTCAGTTTAATTGATTGATTGATTGATTGTTGGTTGCTTAACGTCCAGTGGCAAATACTTCATGCATATTCAATTGATGGGAATGCCTTAAATTAACACTGTTGGTTTCTAATACAATGTATAATAATTATAATCCCAGCAAACACAAAAACATCTTTAAAATGTTTTTAAAATGTTGTGTCTAATGTCATGAAAATATCACAAAAAAACGTGAGAAAAACATTAAATGTATGGTAGAATATATATCACTAAAACGTTTTCTAATATATTTTCTAAAATATTTGCATAATATAATTAAAATGTTGTAAAGAAATATCATGATAATGTGAAAAACAATGGTGTATAAAACATTTTGATAATCTTTTAAAAAATATTTTCTAGAAATATTTTCTGAACGTTTGAAAAACATCATGAACATCAAATATTGTTATAAAAATGTTTTTTGGATGTTTTCTTGCAAGTGAGACTGTGCCTAAAAAATGTTTTCAAAATGTTTTAAGAAGATGTTTTTGGTTGATATCTAGATCATATCAATATAAAAATGTCTTTACTTTTGATTGAGTTTCCTGCTTTTTTAAATAACAAATCATTAGTTAAATTAATGTATACACAGTGATTAATTCTATATACAAACAAGAATAAATCAGTTGTTTTTCTAAGCATATATGAAATTCACAATTCAAAGTCTCTAAAAACAAGAAGTATCTACAAATTTTGACACATCCAAAATGGCAGACACAACTCATCATGGTCAAGCCACTTACCAAATATGAAGTCATTCTGTTCATCAGCATTACTAATTAAAGTAATGAAAAATTTGAGAACATTCAACATTTCGAAATACAATGTATAAGCAAACAGGAAACAGGTGCCAGATACAAAAATGTTCACACATCACAGTTCATCACTATCAAGCAGCTCATTAAATATGAACTCATCTTTATCAGCAGTTTTGGGAAAAACAGTGATGAAAATATTTGTTGGACAAAATCCGACAAATATAGGTGGACAGACGACAGACAGTGCAAGAAAGCCCACATTCCAACCACAATGGTATAATGTTTAGTTTTTCACTCTCAACCTGTATTACCTATCTTATACACATCATGCATATGTCAACCTGAACATGCATGACATATACGCCATTGGACATTATGCAAACATTATACACATTTTTAAGTTCAAGTTACATTGACTAAAACTTGTGTCCCAAATTCAGATTTTTCAATACAACTTCTCTTTCTAAACTTAAACGCTACACTTCTAATAGGGTTACATCTTAATTCAATAATCATTGATAATTGGCTGAAGAGATGAGAACAAAACACCATTTTACATCAACTATTTGATTTATTTAAGAATACATTGAAAAAGTCAATCAATTGTCTTATTCAAAATCACTTGGAATGTCTTGTAGTGTCTTATATCTTTATCTTGCTGTGCCATGCTTCTGAAAAAAAAAAAATCTTACATTCATATATAAACTTCTTGCACATCCTTTATTATAGAACGATTCATGTTGCCTGAAGGATATACATCCCCTCCCCTTTAAAGTTTTGAAACAAATAACCATGATAGTCTGTCGGAAGGGGACGATAAATGGCTGACGGTGTTAAGAGAGAGCAATATGCCACGCTGAACTGCATTTAGTTATTAAAAAAAAACACACATTATATATGACATAAAAAACTTTAGACTAGATATGTGTCCAGTCAAGAGTCTTATTTCATTATACTCGTTGATTGTTGTCTATCATATTTTTTTTCTTTTATTGTTTTGTATAAATCAGGCTGTTGTTTTTCTTGTTTTTTTTTAGTTTTCATTAAATGCATTGTATCATGTAGGGGCCTTTAAAAGCCCTGCTACATAATGTCATTAAACATCTTATTGTCCTTTTTAAGTGTTAAACTCTGTAGAGTGACATAGTTTATAACTTGTCATTTGTATCTAAGGGCATATGATACAGTCCTAGAAGTATACTATAGGCATATAATAACTTATCGAAGTGTTACGCATTGTTTTCGCAATGATGATAATAATATAACTAAACTTCCGAGAAACACACAGATGTCATTAAATGAGTTGTTTATATGTATTTGAAATACTTCAAAGGAAAACAAATATGATGTTTATGAAAGCACACTGTTGGACTAAAAGATTGATTTAAATAAACAACTTGTTTCTATTTTGTCACAAAAAAAATAGTTTATTCAAATATCCATATATCTTTTCTGTATTGTATGCCCTTAATCTTGAATGTAATGCATTGTTTATGCTAAATATTTGAATTAAATATGGAATAACAGTAATTCTGTATGAAAATCTTACTTCCAAAAAAAATTCTCCTGAAAGGTTGTAGACATTCCAAGGAACCTGCGCCACTTCCAAATTGTAAACCTGCATATTGAACTTGTCCTTTGTGGCTTTTCTTTTAGCTCCTGTTCAAAAAAAAAAGATACATTGCAATTTAAATAATTTTAAGCAACAGTTTATATTATCTTGCTTGTACTGAAGTCTTACATAGTCTTTGTAATGTTCATTAAGCTGTTAAGGGAAATTTAATTTACTGTTTTGCAAATACATACATACACTGATTTTACTAGAAAAAAAAATCTCCATATTCAAATGGTGCTTATATAAGTGTTATTGTAACTTGCTTGTTTGTGTGCCTCGGAAACAAGCTTAAGGTATTGAGTCATGCTTATTGCAATAGTTGTTGTTGGTTTAAGTCTGTCAAATTTCTTTTTCATAATTATGTGTATTTAATGTAGGCAGTTAGTTGTTTTGTTTCAATTGTGTTGAGAAAAATTTAACATTTGTTTGTCAAGGCTTCAAAGTGGACTATATGGCATTGGTTTTCTCAGTTTTGAAAGCCGTACAGTGACCTATAATTTCTTTTATCCAAGTCATTTAAATTCTGGTGGATAGCTGTCTCATACACCTTATCGCTATTTCAGTATTTGGAAATCTGTCCTGCTTGAACTTTTTACGTCAGCATACGTCATACAATAATACCCCTTATCGCTATTTCCGCTTGACCTGAGAATCTATCCTGCTTGAACTTTTGACGTCAAACAGCAATCACTTTTCCAATGTGGTATCAGATATTTTTTGTGATGACGTCAAAATTTTAAGGGAACTTGTGACAGTTGTGTGATGTCCAGTAATGGCGGACAAATAGCGATAAGGTGTATTACTTTCAATTGTGGTGTCAAATATTTTCTAATATGACGTCAACATTTTACGGGAACTTTTTTGATGTCCATGGCCAGTAATGGCGGACAAATAGCGATAAGGTGTATTGGCAATCAAACACATACACAACTTCACAACTTCACAAGCCACATATCCTTATAATTTTTTTATATCAATGAACAAATTCATAATTGGTGTACGTAGATGCTTGAACAGTGGCGGATTTAGGGGCCCCGACCCCCTTATGGAGCTACTTATAAGATAAATGTATAGACTATTTACAAGTATCACTCCAAACGTTTGCTTGCCTTGGGCAGGGCCCCCTTTTTTCAAACCCTTGATCCGCACCTCCAGAAACAGATGTAATTTGGTTCCGATTATGATTGAACACACACAATGAATGCACAAGTTTCATCTTAACAGATTAATCATTCTTACCAAGTGAGTATATATCGCGTAACAAACTTGGCTCTCTTTGTTGATATCCTGTCTTCGTTTCGAAATTCAAATTTCAAAATCATTTCCGGTGATAAAACAAAAGTCGATTCCGGAAAAGGTCGGTTTTCCGTAAGGCATATAAACGATACGAAAATTGAACTTAGTACAGTTACAGTTTTCATTTCTTAATTTCTAAAATATACACGAACGAAATTAATAAACATTAAAGAAAGGTGATTGTTTATTAATACATTATTGCTTAATTTAATGTTGACTCTTTTGAATTTTAATATAAGAAGGAATAAAATCTGACTTCAAGGATCTTCTATATATCAATTAAGGATTTCAACCATAGTATCTTGCTTGTCATGATATTGATGAAATGTAGTACTATATCTTATCCTGAAAAAAACGAGCTAATTCCACAAAACGTTGTTTGTGGGGTTTTGAAATAAAGTTTAAATAAAACGTTATTTTATATCCGTAAAATGTTGAATAAAATATCAGTAAGACTATTAAGTAATGTGTATGTCAGAATATTTTATAGAAAACATTTAGCTGATAATTTTCAGATGTTTTATGTAAAACATTTTAATTTTACGTTATAAAACATTTTATGCAAATAGCAAAACTATATTTTCTGTAAAACATTTTTTAGCAGAATGTTTTTTGGATATTTGGAAAATATTTACTTTAAATGTTGTTAAAATATAAAATACCAATTGAAGAAAATATTATTTTTTTATATTATAAAATATCTACGGGATATTTTAGAACAATGTTTGAGAACATGAATAAAAGATATTAGCAAATAATATTTTGTTAATGTTGTAAAAACATTTTACTTAAATGTTAGAAATAAAACATTTCAAAAACAATAAAATAAACATTTTTTTTATGTTTAAATGATATCTTATTGAAATATTTTGTGAGAGACGTCCATATGACATTTAAAAAATGTTTTTAAAATGTTGTGTGTTTGCTGGGATGTAATATAATTAACAATCTACAAACCATTAAGTCCTTCAACTACTTCTGTAACCCAATAATCACTTTCTTTTGTAAAATGTATTTTACATGCTTCTTGGAGAACAGCAATTCGTGGAAGCTACAAATAGAATGAGGAATTAAAAACATTCAAATTCAGACTCAAATGGATACTAAATGCCTACTAAATAAAGGTGAAAATAACAGAGAAATCTTGATAAATATGAGTACAAGGAAACATTGGATATATGTTACATGTATATATATCATTATTTCTCAAGAAACCAAATTACATTGGTATAGAGATACATACAATAAATATTATATAATGTATATATGTACAGACATACAAAAGTTATACGAAAGCAAGACAGAGGCAAATATCATAAATTACAGTGTACAGATTAAACTAAATTGTTTCAAGTACATGAGTTACCCAGGAGAGCCTATACATGCATATTGATTAGTCTTATTAATTTACACAAGTTGTTAAGATCAGAAAGATTTTTGCTATTCATCAGTTCATTAAATTTTAATGAGTTTGGTTGATTTGTATATTTTTTTTCAACAACTGTCTACGATTATCATTAAATACAGAACATGTAAAAATATAATGAAATTCATCTCCAATGTCTCCAGAGTTACAAAGTAAGCATTTTCTATTTTCTCTTGCAATATTTTGCCATCTACCAGTCTCAATAGGAAATCTATGATTTCCTGTTCTCAATCTACATAATGTAATAATATTTCTATAATCATCTAAATTTATAAAATAATATTCAAATTCTTTATAATTACGATAATTTAGAGCTTTTGGTGATTCTAGCACATTAGTGTGCCATTTCTGTTTAAATTAATCAACAAGATTTTGTTTAACAATAGTATATAGCCATGTATCACTCACAAAATATTGGGTATCCCACACAAATGACAAACCACATTCATCAAGAATGAATTTAACATTTTTTAACCAAGTTATATCATTTTTATATTTATACAATGAGTACTTATATAGAATTGCAGGAAGTTTTTCTTGTTTTCTAGATAATAATTTTGTCCAGTAGTTAATTATACAGAGTTTTGTATCGATTTCCAAAGGATATCTGCCCAATTCTCCATTTATCATAAAATCAGGTGTAGACTTTTTAACCTTAATCAAAAGTTTGCAGAATTTCATATACACCCTTTCTATAACCAAATTCTTACCAAAACCCCAGACTTCACTACCATAAATTAAAATAGGTTTAACAATCTTGTCAAATAATTCAATTTGACATTCAATTGAAAGATTGTGCAATCTTCCTTTTTTGATTATGTCTTACATATATATAGCACATATTGCTTTATTTGCAGTGGCGGATCCAGGGGGGGGGGGGGGGGGGGGGGGTTTCGGGGGTTGGAATCCCCCTTTTTTTGACGATCAATGCTTTTGAATGGGGACATATGGTTGGAACCTCCCTTTTAAAATTGGCTGGATCCACCCCTGATTTTCTTGCACTTTTCTAGCCTTGAAAAACTTCCTGTTCTACTGAATAAGACATCTAGATATGTAAACTCAATAACAATTTCTAGAATAATATCGATACATGTATAATTAAACTTAACATTATTAAGTAGTCTACCTTGATGAGACAACAATGTAGCGACAATAATAACCAGAGACATTTAGTTAGCATATAAAATGTAAAGAAAAAAAAAACAATTTTATTACTCAACATCAATAAAGAGATTCAACAAATATTCAAAAAAACTGTTAAGTATACGAGTGTCATATCACTGATTTGATTAAATAGGACCAGAAATGTCTTCAAAATAATATTTGTTTATGGAACCTGATTTTCACACAATATTTGCAAAAAGTGAGAAAAAATTTTCATCTTTCATCTCAAAAACTTAACAGCGAACTCTACTATGCACAGATGTTAAGTAACTGAACGAGGGCTTAAAAAAATTGTTCACTGCAGGCTTGTTAATAGGCAGTATTTAGAATTTTATTGCAATCTTCATGCAACAATTTTTTTTTTCATTACATAAAATTTTCCATCAAATCCACAATTGACAAGTCTTCAGTCGCCATATTGAATTGCTGAAATTCTGCAGATGTTTGATTTATAAAATATAATCAAAACTAAAAATACACCTACCTCAAAAACACTGTTTTAATGAGAAATTGTCCAGATTTGAATTGTACAAGTTATGAATTAACCTTCAGTTTGAAAGTTTTCATTTGTCTGACTTTGTGGTTTGCCATTACGTTTATGCGCCAAAATCATTCATGAATTTTTATAGAATTTAATATTATCTTAAATTTATACATTTTTTCAAGCTCTATGTATCATTTCTTTAAGCAATGCATTAGAATAGGAATTACAGTAACTGTAGTTGAAGAGTTCCCACCGTCAATATTTAATTTGACAGTCACAAATATTTGTTTAAGTGTCACTTGTGATGTTATCATGATGCCATTAACATGATCAAACATGTGTTTATTGACAAATTTGAGCAAAATGGTCATTTAGTCATACATGTCTAGTTTTCAAATTGAACGTGACCTGCATTTTATGTTTCATAAGTTTGTGTTAAAATCTAATATGTTTTGTCAAATGGTCCTTTCATTATCACCTTGGAACCCCAAAAAATCCCACTTTTAATGTGACATGCAAGTAACAGGAATAACTCTTGAACAGTAAATGTTAAAACCATCAACATAAAACTTGGGGGTCAGATCTATAATTCGACAATCCTATAGTCCGACAGTCCTCCAATCGAACAAGATCCTAATATCAGTCATATCATCTGACAATCCTTGTCTCTAAAAAAAATATACCTATAGATGTGTAACATTTGTATATTCAATTATTGGTATATTTGTTTACAGAGACATGACTTCAGTGCTTGTCAGGCCACATGCAGACTTAACTATACAACTAAAGTGGGCTTAAGAAGTTTTTAACTTTTCTGTGTACGGTAATCATACATACACAGTAACACTAATAATAAGTGTTTGACTCCAATTGCGTTTGCAGAAAGTTAGCTCGATTACTAGGTGTAAAACAAAAAACTAATGGTATGCTAAGTATAACATCATGCTCACGTTCTTATAATAAATGAATGGTATTTAACCACAAATAAATGCCAAATTGCTATTTTATAGCAATGATTCAGTGTGTTTCAACAAGTATTTTGTCCTCTTTCAGATTGAGACAGTTCTCATATAATTGAATCCTGAATATGCATTAGACTCCTGTAAAGATCTCTGATGTATATAATACATAAATACAGTTTTACAATTGGGATTTTCTTATTGGACCTGGTATATATTTGATGTTGTCGGAATTGGTCAATATACTACCAACCTTGATTCCAAAGAAGGGCCAATACAGAGATGCCAGCTCTATACACTTTTTTTTTAATCAAATTATCATATCAGTCAGTATAGTCTGTAGGTCAAAGGTAAAAAAAACTGTTACTGAAATTGAATAAACATCAAGCTGCTTTTGTGTTATTTGTTTTTCGCAACAAAGCATCCATTATATCACACAAACCTAACTGCAATTGTAAATCTTCATTTACTCCTCGCCTATTCAATCCAGAGAACAAAATTTAACACCATCCTTTTCACCATATAAAGAGAATGATTTCAGTTTGTTACAAAATGGTTAAATCTGGTCTTAAATGTGAAAAAAATATTGGCCCTCAGATTGATTTATTCCATTTGAATGATTGCTATCTTTGCATTGCACAACCAGTGGTGGATTCATGGCGGCGTATGCCCTCTCCCTCTTTTATTGGAAAATATATAAATTTTAAGCATTTAATCATCCAGAAATATTTTTGACTCACTCTGCTATTTATTCACTTTTCTGCAATAACCCCCTTATAAAAAGTTATGGATCCGCCTCTGACAACATCAAGAAGACATAAAACATTGGTAAACCTTTTGGTAACTTTGGGCATTCATTTTTGGAATTCATCTTTAGTGTGTCCTCATGTTATTTGTGTTGAGGTGTTTCCTTTGTTCAATGGAGACAATCAGTACTGATTTTAACTATAATGTCCTTAAATATGTTTTTTATTTTTTCATTTCATCTCTGACCACATGTAGGAGGCTGATTTGGATCCAAGAAAAAAAATTTAACCCATCGCATGTAATATACAATTGTCAATTTCAATTCAAACCATTTGATTTGATTTCTCTCTTTATATGTATTCGGCACAATCTAGAACTGAAATTATGCTTGTAGGGGAAAAAGGAGGGTTTACTTTGCATTGAAAATCATTCAGTGAACTTTTGGTATCTGTTGTGTTTGCTGTGTTTAGTGAATGTGAACTGACTTCGTGTCATTGCCCATCTCCGTTCCGTTCTACATCTGATGATTCGATGACCTAGGAATGCTTAGGTCCAAATTATAATATATGAAATTTCTCATTCAACCACAAAATGCATTACATTTATGCGCATGTATGTTACAACTTAACTGTCATTCTCTGTATCAACTTTGACATGGTGAACAGGAATGGAATCTTAGATTAATTGTTCAAACAGTATAGGATTTAATTGGGATCCCATTTCAATGCATTTAACTTTTGAAATTTTATGCAATGTCGGACTATCGGATCGTCGTACTACTGGGCTGTCAGAATTTCGGGGTGTCGGATTACAGCTTAGCTCCTTAAAAATTGACCTGTATTGTATGATCTATGAAATTTTGTTTAAATTTCAAAAGGTTTAGTCAAGTGGGACTTTAGTTTAATTCTGGAAACCAAAATAATTCAATCTTTCAGGCAACTATAATAGGCATAACTCGAACTTAATAACTCGTAAAACAAATGTAAAAACCCTCAAAGTCGAACTTTGCCTGTATTTCATAATCCATGACATTGTGTTGGAATATCAAAAGATTTGGTCAAGTGGTACATTAATTTTTGTCTAGAAACCAAAGAAATATCAATTTTTCTAGTAACTAAAGGCATAACTTTTGTCATAAATGGTAAATGTCAAAACCATAAAAGTATATTCTATTTATCATCATAAAACAAAAGTTGACAGATGGACATAGGGATGGGCAGAACAATGGACAAACAGACAGGAAAACAGACAGTCATACAAACTGACAGACA